AGCCCACTGTACAGAGGTCCTGGGCAGCCCTTTTTCTGGGTCTTGATCTTTTAGGTCACCTTGCTTGCTGCCCTGCCGGAGGGGCCTCAGCCCTGACTTGCATGTCTTCACTGGCCTGCCTGGGCAGCTTGGGCCATCTCACTCTGCCTATGCTCTGACTTGGTAGCTCTGCCTCTTGGGGCTACCCCGTCAAGATTTGGGGGGTAACTGGTCCCAGAGGTCCCCCAGACTGGTGAGGGCCCCAAATTGTTGGTCTTCTCTGGACTTTGGGGTCTTCTCAAGAGGTATCATAGAGGGCTGCTGTGTCCTCTGGTTAGGAACCTTCAGATGAGGCTCCTGCTGAGGACCTGGCCACCTAGCACAGGGAGGATCCGTCAGGCTCTGGGGGCGGATGAGAGTCTGGAGGCCTTGTAGTTGGGGGTTGGAGGCCTTACCACTCACTGTGCAATCTGGCAGCCTGGCACTCTGTAAAATACGGGTGGTGATGATAAGACCCACCTTGCGGGTCTCTGGTGATGTCAGAGGTCCTGGAGGATAGGCCCCTTCCTCGGCACAAGCCTCAGGGCCTTTATGAGCTGCTTTCCAGGGGGTGAGTTGTTTGCAGCTTTGAGAGAAAGGACTTGGCAGCTCCCTCATCTTGTGAGAGATGGGGACTTGGGGCCCCAAAACCCATGTTCATATCCCAGCCCTGCCCTTTCTCAGGTAATTTACATGGCTCCCAGGACCTTGGTGTCCTCCCCTGTGGATGGGTCCCTTTCTCATGAGAAATTCTCAGAAAGCGCCCCCTTATGGGCTCAACTCTGTTACCCAGCTTAAGGACAGCCAGAGCACCTGTCCACAGCAGCCCCTCTACCAGCCTGGCCACCTGCACCCTGAGCTGTCCCTTCACCCCTGGCTCTCTTACAGGCAGACCATGGCAGAGTTCTCCCAGAAACGGGGGAAGCGGCGTGGCGATGAGGGGCTGGGCAGCGTGGTGGACTTCCTCCTGGCCAATGCCCGTCTGGTGCTGGGCGTGGGCGGGGCTGCCGTGCTGGGCATTGCCACCCTGGCCGTGAAGCGGGTAAGGCCAGGCTGGTCCGGTCATGACTGAAGCTCCTAGAGGAGGACAGGGTTGGGCCTTGCAGAGGGGCCCTGGGGAGGGGTGGGGACTGCCCAAGGCCTTCATGGGAGCCCAGGGCACCTGCTTCTCCACCCCAGCACCCTGGTCTGTTTTGCCCCTGGGCTTTGCTGTGGCTGCCCAGACTTCATCTTCTCTGTATGACTCTGCCTGCAGTTCATTGACAGGGCCACTAGCCCACGGGATGAGGATGACACCAAGGGAGACAGCTGGAAGGAACTGAGCCTGCTCAAGGCAACGCCACACCTGCAGCCCCGGCCTCCACCAGCTGCCCTCAGCCAGCCTGTGTTGCCCTTGATCCCCTCGCCTTCTGCCCCAGGTAAGTGGCATTCCTTCCCCTCTCACGTTGGTGAGTACCCTTTTGTTGTCACATTTGAGAGACGAAGCCCAGGCTCTGCCCTGACTGTATGACCCTGCGCAAGTCCCTGCTTCTCTCTGGGTTTCGGGCTCCTCAGACATTTAATGGGGGTGGTGTTTCTTTGCCCTGCTCCTGCAGCAAGGTGGCAGTGTTGTGATGGTGGAGAGCTTTAGATGGGGAAACTGAGGCCCAGAGGGGCATGACCTGCCAAACTCCTCTGCATGAAGCTGTTTTAGCCATAGGGCCAGGGTGTTGGACTCTGGGGCAATGAGAACTCGTCACCAAGCGCTCACTATATGTGAGGACCTGGACGGAGTGCCTTCCCAGGTGAGGACAGTGAGGCCCCAGGACATCACACAGCTAGTCGTTGGGTAGCGTTTTCTTAACTAATCACAGGCTGTTCCAGCATGTTCCCCGCCCCTTCACTCTGCAGAGGAGCCTGCAGAAACTGATCTTCAGGTGACACCACAGCTCAGCTCCCCAGCACCGCTGTGTCTGACGCTGCAGGAGAGGCTGCTGGCCTTCGAGCGGGACCGTGTGACCATCCCAGCAGCCCAGGTGGCTTTGGCCAAACAGCTGGCTGGCGACATTGCCCTGGAACTGCAGGCCTATTTTCGGAGCAAGTTTCCAGAACTGCCCTTTGGGGCGCTTGTGCCTGGGGGACCACTCTACGATGGGCTGCAGGCGGGGGCTGCTGACCATGTGCGTCTCCTGGTGCCACTGGTGCTGGAGCCGGGCCTGTGGAGCCTGGTGCCGGGCGTGGACACTGTGGCGAGGGACCCTCGCTGCTGGGCTGTGCGCAGGACTCAGCTGGAGTTCCGCCCCAGAGGGAGCAGCCCCTGGGACCGCTTCCTGGTGGGGGGCTACCTCTCCTCCCGCGTCCTGCTGGAGCTGCTGCACAAGGCGCTGGCTGCCTCCATCAACTGGCCAGCCATCGGCAGCCTGCTTGGGTGCCTGATCCTGCCCAATGTGGCCTCGGAGGAGCTGCTGCTGGAGGTGCGGCATGAGCGCCTGGAGCTCACTGTGGCCGTGCTTGTGGCAGTTCCTGGGGCCGAGGCCGATGACCACCTCCTCCTGGCCTGGCCCCTGGAGGGGCTGGCGGGGAACCTCTGGCTCCAGGACCTGTATCCAGTGGAGGCTGCTAGGCTGCGAGCCCTGGATGACCGTGATGCTGGGACCCGCCGGCGGTTGCTGCTGCTTCTGTGTGCTGTCTGCCGTGGCTGCCCGGCCCTGGGGCAGCTGGGCCGGGGCCACCTGACCCAGGTGGTCCTGCGTCTGGGGGAGGACAACGTGGACTGGACGGAGGAGGCCTTGGGCGAGCGCTTCCTGCAGGCCCTGGAGCTGCTCATCAGCAGCCTGGAGCAGGCCAGCCTGCCCTGCCACTTCAACCCCAGCGTGAACCTCTTGAGCAGCTTGCGGGAGGAAGAGATTGACGACCTTGGCTATGTGCTATACAGTGGCCTACAGGAGCCCGAGGGGCTGCTCTAGGTGGGTGGGAACAGGTGACTGGCATGTTTTCTGATGTTGGGAAGCTGCGCCCACCTCCCTTGCAGGGATTTGGAGGGTGTTTTTTTTCTAGCTTTCAGCCAGAACAAAAGAGGGTACCTTACTTAAACCCAGGGCAATATGTGCTTGGGCTATGGTGACTGTAAACCCTGAGCCCAGAGAGCTTGGGTCACTGTCACCTGAGTGTGGCTGGGCTGCCTCAGGCAGCTTGGAATGCCAGCCATTCACACAAGCACTTTTCAGCCCTGGGGGCCAACTGCAGGACCTTGGCTCTATCCATCACCAGCAACGAATCCAAATGTGGTTTCTGCCATCCTGGCCAGGGATGAAGGCCAGCTTCTCATTTCTGCTGAGAGAAGGTGACTTTACGCCTTCTCCGTCCCCAGTTCCAGGTGTTTTGAGGCGTCCAGTGCCTGGTGGTAGGTATGGTGTGTTCTGTCCCCCAGGGGCTAGTCACCTGGTGCCCCTAAAGGACAATTTTTTGGCTGTTAAAGGATGGCGTTTTCCTGCTCTCTTCTGTGTGTTTAGTTTTCTTGCTGTGTTCTCGAGCCCTGGAGCAGGAGCTCAGGGTCACTTGCCACCCGCCTGATAACTCAGGGCAAGGGCCCTTTTCCCTCCGACCAGGTGAGTGTTTTCTTCAGGCAGCCGAGGGCCCTGGGGGAGCCCCGTCCTTCCTGGGGGAGCTGAGGCTCTGAGCTGCACTCCCTACCCCACAGCTGGGGCATCCCACTGGAGCTGTTCCAGGCCCCACTGGAGAGCAGGGGACTTGTCTCCCCAACAGAGAGGTCCGGCCCAGAGAGCCGGCCCCCCAACGTGCCAAAATGAACTGCTCTCAGCTGATGTCTGTATTCTGACTTTGAAGTCTGTTAGAGGGAGCAGGGGGTGCTACAGGAGGGAGATTCCACCTCCCCTCCCAAGTGACCCTCCTCCTGCCTCTGGTATCCTTCCTGCTGAAACGAAGCTCTGCTTCGAAGATGTGAACAAGAATAAAAGGAAAACATTCTAATGTATGTGTAACTCAGGCTGGATAAGGGGGTCTTGGCGTTTTCCTACGCAGCTGTTTGGGGTTTTCTCTAAGTCCTGTGGCTTGTCCTGGCACCTTGGCAAGAGCGCTTGAGGTCAATTGGTGGTGGTAGAGTTTACTTTAAAAAGTAGCATCTTAGGCCAGGCATGGTGACTCACACCTGTAATCCCACTACTTTGAGAGGCCAAGGCAGGTGGATCACCTGAAGTGAGGAGTTTGAGACCAGCTGACCAACATGGTGAAACCCTGTCTCTACTAAAAATACAAAAATTAGCTGGGCGTCGTGCTGTGCACCTGTAATCCCAGCTACTTAGGAGGCTGAGGCAGGAGAATTGTTTGAACCCAGGAGGTGGAGGTTGCAGTGGGCTGAGATCGTGCCACTGCACTCCAGCCTGGGTGACAGATGGAGACTCTGTCTCAAAAAAAAAAAAAAAGTAGCATCTTAGTCTGTTTGAGCTGTGATAACAAAATGTCATAGGATGGCACCATAAACATCAGAAATTTATGTCTGACTATTTTGGATGCTGGAAATCCAAGAGTGAGACACAGATCCCATGTCTGGTGAGGGCCCACATCCTGGTTCATAGGTGTCCCCATCTAGCTGTCCTCATGTGGAGGAAGTGGGGACATCCTCTCCTAGGGTCTCTTGTAAAGGCACTGAGCCTACCCATGGCGGGGGGTCCACACTCATGATCCAGTCACTTCCCAGAGGCCCCATCTCCTGTTAGCAGCCCCATGAGGGTTAGAATTTCAGCATACAAGTTTTAGGGAGACACAAACTTTTTTTTTTTTTTTTTGAGATGGAGTTTCGCTCTGTTGCCCAGGCTGGAATACAATGGTTTGGTCTTGGCTCACTGCAACCTCCGCCTCCCAGGTTCAAGCGATTCTCCTGTCTCAGCTTCCAAGTAGCTGGGATTACAGGTGTCCGCCACCACGACCGGCTAATTTTTGTATTTTCAGTAGAGACATGGTTTCACCATGTTGGCCAGGCTGGTCTCAAACTCCTGACCTCAGGATCTACCTGCCTCAGCCTCCCAAAGTGCTGGGATTACAGGTGTGAGCCACTGCACCCAGCTGGGGGACACAAAGTTTCTGTCCATGACAAGTAGGGTATGTGGAAGGAAAATTTGAAAAGCTTGGTGTTGCTTTAGTAATGGGAACCAGCCAGTTTGGGCTCTTTCTTCCTGAAAGGCTGAACTGACAAACCCTGCACCCTATTTTCTGGAATTGGTGGGCCGTTCACGGCCCTTCAGCCATGCCCATCAGTTTTTAGAAACCTGTGTTCTCTACCTCCCTTGCTCCCCTCTGTGGCTCCACAAGTGGGGAGGAAACTTGCCCCGCCTTGTGCAGGTGAGAGGCCAGGGCATCTTAACCCCCACAACCCTGAAGAACCAAAGCCAAGGCTCACTTCCTATCACCAGATGACAGATGTGGCCCGAGGAAGGCTCTGGGCCATGGTGCAGGGCTGCCTGTAGCCAAGCTGTGCCACTTGCATCCTGCTGGTCCTTCCTCCACTTACGTTCTGAGAGGACTCCCTACCTCTTCCAGCTGTGACTGCAGGACCCAAGGGAAGCAGGAGCATGCAGAGCAAATGAGATGGTGGTGTAGGCCTCTGGGTGTTGGGTGCAGGGCAAGGGGCGGGCATGAGGGCTCCCTGCAGAGGATATTATAAGGGTCCAAGGTGGGAGACACATGGCTGAGGTCCACTCCAATCACTTGATGCTGGAGAGCTTTGAGCAATTTCCCTGGTGGTGGAGGGAGAGCACAGGACCAGCCTGGGGCAGAACCTGTGCCTCAGTCCTCTCGTCTCTTACATCTCTTAACTGGGTGGGGATCATGCAATACCTACTCCCAGGTGCTTGTGAGGATTAACAGGTGGGCAGTGCTAACAGTGCCTAGGAACAAGGACTGGTGGGTCTAGCAGTGTCCCACCCTCCAGCTACATTCCAAGCCCCAGCATGGCAAGGCGCTCCCAGCTGCCAGGCCAGTCCCTGGTCAGAGTGCAGCTGTCCAGGAAGCAAGCTGTCTCGAGTCACTCTCCTTAGACGACCAGACCCCAACACAAGCCGGATGTGGGCCGATCTGTAGAGGCCACTTGCTTCAGGTAGCTCTAAATTTCCCTTCTCATACCATAGCTTTTTTTTTTTTTTTTTTAAAGAAAATGTTCAGGATGAGTTAAGAGGGAGAGAAATGTTCATGGTTTCGTCACCTAGCTATGGTGAATGTCTGGGTCTTCCGTTTCTAGCCAGAGAACTGGAACCAAGTCACTGTCTTGCTAGGGGCTTTGCATGACCTCATGCCCTGGGCTGTCCCAGCTGATGGGCCATGGAATCCCACCCCCTCCCCTCCCCGCAATGCAAGGACAGCCCCAGCTCTGCTGGCCTGAGAGCAAGATGGGCTTGCCCAGGCTTTGGTGTCTTAACACTCAGAACCTTTGGCTGTGGTGACTCAAATTCCTTGTTTTACCTTCACCAAGTGACCCAGAGCCAGGAGCCTTGTTGACTGGCAGTGACTACCCCTGCTTAGAATGCAAGGATTGCTAGGGAAGATCTTAGAAAAAAAAAAGACTCCAAAAATTGAGAACCTAAATGTATTTCTTTGAAAATGTCACCCATAGATCCTCTACCCCTAACTCAACAATAAATTTCACCAAATAGCGTTTCCTTTGTGTAAATCCACTCATACCCACTTCTTTTCAGGCATACTTAGCTGTGGGATTGTCCTCAAAGGGGGACCATTTATTGCTGTAGAGCTGACATGTTCAGTTCATTTCCATCTCTGCTGCTAAATTTAAAAAAGCAAACAAAAAAATAGGCTGGGTATGGTGGCTCATGCTTGTAATCCCAGCATTTTGGAGGCTGAAGCGGGAGGACTGCTTGAGGCCAGGGGTTCAAGACCAGCCTGGGCAACATGGCCAGACCTCCTCTCTACAAAAACTAATTAGCCAGGTTTGGTGTACGCTTATGGGCCCAGCTACTCAGGAGGCTGAGGTGGGAGGATGGCTTGAGTCCAGGAGGGCGAGATTGCAGTGAGCCATGATTATGCCTGGGATTACAATCTGGTCTCAAACTCCTGGCTTCAAGCAATCCTCCCAGCTCAGCCTCCCTAAGTACTGGGATTACAGGTGTGAGCCACTGTATCTAGCCAACATTTGCTTTTTTTTTTTTTTTTTTGAAATGGGAGTCTTGCTCTGTCACTCAGGCTGGCATACAGTCACCCAATCTCTGTTTACTACAACCTCTGCCTCCCTGTTTCAAGCAATTCTCCTCTCTCAGCCTCTTGAGTAGGTGGGATTGCAGGTGTGCACCACCACACTTGGCTAATTTTTTATTAGAGATGGTTTGACCTATGTTGCCTGGGTTGGTCTCGAACTCTTGACCTGACATGATCTGCCCACCTCAGCCTACGGAAGTGTTGGGATTATAGGTGTGAGCCATTGTGCCCGGTCAACATATATATTTAAATCTTAATTCCTTGAGGAAGCTAAGGCTGTAGTGGACAAAACCCACGTGTGTTCCAAAGACAAACACCAGTGACTCAGGTGACCTGCACTGGGTCATCTCTGCACTGCTTGCCGAATTCCTGAGACAATGAGACCAGTTAGTTCAGCGGGCTGGGGCCTCTGGCAGGCAGGGAGGCCACTGGGCTCACTTGCTTGTATGGGTTTCAGAAGGAATCTTCCACGTTCAGACTGCAGGCCAGATCCTGACTATATTCATGTTCTCCAGAGGGACAGAACCAATAGGCTGTATGGATACACAGAAAGGAAGTTAACTGGGGAGAACTGGCTTATAGGATTACAAGGTGAAGTCCAGAATAGGACGTCTGCAAGCTGCAGAGAGAAGCCAATAGCATGGCTCAGTCTAAGTCCAAAATCCTCAAAACCAGGAAAGCCCACAGTGCAACCTTCAGTCTGTGGCCGAAGGCTCCAGGAGCCTGCTGGTGCAAGTCTTCGAGTCCAAAGGCTGAAGAACCTGGAGTCTGATGTCAAACAGCGGGGAAGAGGAAACAAGCATCTGGCATAGGAAGAGCCTCAGCAAGTTGCCCATTCCCCTTCCACCTGCTTTGTTCTAGCCATGCTGGCCGCTGATTGGATGGTGACCACCCACATTGAGGATAGGTCTTCCTCAGTACAGTAACTCATGTAGGTCTCCTCTGGCAACACACTTACACCCAATACCAGCCATCTGGGTGTCCCTGTGTGGGCTGATAGTCTAAGGTAGGGATGGGGTGCACAGATCTGTCCCAGGTAGGGATGGTCAACAGGCGAGTGGCAACATCCTGGTGAACATAGTGAGCTGGGATCACCTGTGTCCCGGTGCAAGAAACTTGGAGATCCAGCTGAATGTGAATATCCCAAGTCCTCAGCTAGATTCTAGAAGAGGCAGGTGGTGAATTCATCCCAAAGGGCAGTGGGGTCTCTGCCCAGTGACTCAAAATCCAGTGCCAATATTGCTGTTTGTGTCCCCATAAGCCTGGCCCTGGGGGGTGGGGGTACTGGATGGTGGTGACAGGGCTTTTTCTTTTTTTGAGATAGTCTCCCTCTGTTGCCCAGGCTGGAGTGTAGTGGGGCGGTCTGGGCTCACTGCAACCTCTGACTCCTGGGTTCAAGCGATTCTCTGCCTCAGCCTCCTGAGTAGCTGGGATTATAGGCACCCAGCTAATTTTTGTATTTCTAGTAGAGACGGGAGTTTCACCATATTGTCCAGGTTCGTCTCGAATTCCTGAGCTTGTAATTCGCCTGCTTCAGCCTCCCAAAGTGCTGGCATTACAGGTGTGAGTCACCATGCCTGGCCGACAGGGCTTATCTTTAATTCTGGATGCTCTAAGTATCCGGGGTGGGATTAGGCAGAGACTCTTCAACCACCACCAGTTGTGTGGACTGGTCTTGTTTCCTCTGCTCTCAGTGCAGTCACCTGGGGAAGCACGTGCAGCATGTCAGCCAGGCTTCTTCACCAAGAGATGGCAGGGAAGCCTCCAGTTACCCCATGGGCTCTCAGCCTTGGTGTGGAGAGCAAGTAGGGCTTTTTTTTTTTTTTTTTTTTAAACTAAAAGAGTTGACAATTTTATTTTCACATTTCCCAATACAAATGAAAACTGCATCTTTTTTGCCCCACATCTCCCCTCCAAAACTATTCTCTTTGATCAGACAGGGGAGCAAGTCTTCCTTATGCTGTTTAGAAAACCCAGCATCACAGCAGCATGATCTCCTGGTGAAGCAGAACAGGTAATATAAAACTGGTAGAATGAGGCCTCCCCTCTATCCTTATCTGTCTGGTCGAGTCATTCCAGGCCGAGTGGGCACCATCATGGGACGGGCAGGAGGTCTCATCATTGGGGGCCCAGGCATCATTGGCACATGGCCTCCCATGGGTGGCCTCATTCCAGGAGCACTAAGCGTTTGTTCGGAGTTGTAGGAAAGGTAAGCAGGAGGCACATGCTGAGAACCAGGTCCCACTGGCATCATCCCAGGAGGAGGAGGGCCCCCTATATGGGGTGCTGGCATCATACCAGGGCGAGGAGGACCTGGAAGACTTGGGGGGGGGTGGTATCATCGCCCCTGCAGGAGGAGGAGCAGAGAATGGAGTAGGAGGTATCTTTTTTTGTTGAAATGCAGCCATTGTTTTGTCTATCAGGCTCTGAGCCTGCTCTTCCATCCATTTCTGATAGTAGTCTTTCACATTCTCTTTGTGTTTCCTACCACTGCAGTGTGTCTTTCTCACAGATGGAGAGCCATGGGTGAGGTATGTATCGCAGTAGTCACAATAAAACTTGGGCATGTTGCTCCGCAAGCCGTTGGCCACTCCGTTCCGTGACGCCCAGAAATGATGCACACCGCAAGTAGGGCTTTTTACAAACTGATGGGGTTGGAGGGGACATGGCATCAGAGACCAGGTTTCAAGCCCAGGACAGCTGCTTGGTAGGGGAAGACACTTAACCCAGCAAAGCCATGGTTCCTGCACAAAACAGATAGTAGATACTGTCTTGCTGTCAGCCAGGAGGTTGAAACCACTGTGTGACATCCTCGCCAGTGCCTAGTCTCTGCTAGATCCAGCAAGGTGGGGGGAGGGGGGTCATTTTCTTCTCCTTGGTTTTGCATTGCACAAGCTGCCAATGTGGCTCAACACAGGGACAAACCCTTCCAATCAACGTTGATGGGGTGGGATGTGCTGCATGCTGCTAACCTGAGTGGGCCATCAAGAGACCTGGAAATTCCAACAGGTTTGATTTGTGAAACTTTAATTTGCAGTCGTACCTGACTGCAAGCCTTCAGCAGAGAACCTCAATATGAACAAGGACACCCCATTAGGGATGAGGCAACTGGGGCTCCAGGGATGAGGGCACACACCAAGGGTGGCAGAACAAGCCAGGAAGCAGGAGCTGAGCCTGGGTCTGATCTCAGATGCCTAGCCCAGTTCATGGTGCAGCCCAATCCTGCAGTTTGGTTTTGAGAAACACAGGAGTTGCCTGCAGAGAGACACCAAAACCACAAAGGCATCTGGTATCCAGAAACTATGAAGAACTCCTACAACTCAACAAAGACAACCAATTTAAAAATGGGTGAAGAGACTAGGCGCAGTGGCTCATGCCTGTAATCCCAGCACTTTGGGAGGACAAGGCAGGTGGATCACCTGAGGTCAGGAGTTCTAGACCAGCCTGGCCAACATGGTGAAACTCCATCTCTACTAAAAATACAAAACAAACTAGCTCGGTGTGGTGGTGGATGCCTGTAATCCCAACTACTTGAGAGGCTGATGCAAGAGAACTCTTGAACCCAGGAGGCAGAGGTTGCAGTGATCTGAAGTCGCACCACTGCACTCCAGCCTGGGCATCGAGCAAAACTACATCTCAAAAAAAAAAAAAAAAAAAAAAGGTGAAGAACTTAAATAGATATTCTCCAAAGAATGTATAACAACAGACAGTAAGTAAGCCTGTGGAAAGATGGTCAATGTCATTAGTGACTAGGAAAATGCAAATCAAAACCACAATGAGATGCCACTTCATACCCACTAGGATGACAATACACTAGGATGGCTATAATACAAAAAAAAAGTGTTCACAAGGATGTGGAGAAGCAGGAACTCTGGTGCGCTGTTTGGTGGGTGTAAAATGGCGCATCCACTGTGGAAAAGTTTGGCAGTTCCTCAAAAAGTTAAAACATGGTATGAACCTACAATTCCATTGCTAGGCATATGCCCAAAATAACTGAAAACAGGTCAGACATCCATACACCAATGTTCACACAGTGCTATTCACAAGTCAAAAGGCGGAAACCACCCAAATGTCCGACAAATGGATAAATGTGTGGTATATTCATACAGCGGACTATCGGCCATAAACATCGAGGACTGACACATGCTACAATGTGGATGAGCCAAGTCAAACCAGACACAGGAGGTCATGTAAGGTTAAGATTCCATGTTTTTTTTTTTGAGATGGAGTCTTGCTCTGTTGCCCAGGCTGGAGTGCAATGGCGTGATCTTGGCACACTGCAGCCTCTGCCTCCCAGGTTCAAGCAATTCTCCTGCCTCAGCCTCCCGAGTAGCTGGGACTACAAGTGCGCACCGTCACGCCCGGCTAATTTTTTGTATTTTAGTAGAGACAGGGTTTCACTGTGTTTGCCCAGGCTGGTCTCAAACTCCTGAGCTGAGGCAATCTGACCACCTTGGCCTCCCAAAGTGCTGGGATGAGCCACCGCACCCAGCCTGGATTCTTTATTAAGGCAATGAATTCTGGATGTCCTGGCTTAACTAGATAGACAATGAAGCTTCTTCTGCAGGATCAATGTTACCACAGCCACCTCCTTGCATTACACCATGCTCCTCAGAACATCTATGGAGAGAAGCCCGGGGCAGCCTGGATAGGGCCTGCTCCATGAGGGCTGGCTGCTCACTTGGGGCTTTCTGGAGGTGAAGGAAGCCGCCCTGGGAGCTTCTTACTTGACCACTCAGTGGGCTTCACCTGGGACTGCACCAGTCCTCTGCTAACAGCGACCATCCTTGGGGGGTTTGAGGGAGCAGCCGTGTGACTTTTCAGCAGTGGCTATGGTCACTTCTAAGGCCTGGGCAGAGAGCCACTGTCCAGCAGAGCCGAACTGCTCCAGATTGGTCTGGACCTTGTATTTATTAACACAGGAAGGCACAACTCCAAAGGCCAACAGTGTTCTTCAAGTTTCCAGGACACTGAATGGCCACTTGGTCCTGGTTAACTCATTTCCCAACACAAAGGGGATAGGTCTGAAAAAGTGGTACGCTATACCCTATCCTGCCCTCATCTGTTCTGAGGACAAAAGGGACGGGTGTGTCCAGGCTGGTGGCAAAGGCTGCATTTCCGGTGTTTCTTTGCTGTGGATCCCATGTCTGAGGAACTGGCCCGGGGCCTTTTGCTTCTGGCCTCCAACCCTAGGGTTCCTCCTCTGCCTCTTGTCCAGGGCAGGGCTCCAGAAGTCCCTGTGGGGAGAGTCAGGGGAGGGCTGAGGTTAGAACTGACATGCAAAAGTAGCAAGTCCCAAACATGGTGACTCGCGCCTATGATCGCAGCACTTCAGGAAGCCGAGGCAGGAGGACTGCTTGAGCCCAGAGTTCAAAACCAGCTTGGGCAACATGGCAAAACCCAATCTTAAAAAAAATACAAAAATCAGCCAGGTGGCTGGGCATGGTGGTTCACGCCTGTAATCCCAGCACTTTGGGAGGCCAAGGCAGAGGTGGGTGGATCACCAGGTCAGGAGTTTCAGACCAGCCTGACCAATATGGTGAAACCCTGTCTCTACTAAAAATATAAAAGTTAGATGGGTGTAGTGGCACACGCCTATAATCAGCTACTCAGGAGGCTGAGGCAGGAGAATCACTTGAACCCGGAGGTGGAGGTTGCAGTGAGCAGAGATAGTGCCACTGCACTCTAGCCTGGGTGACAGAGCAAGACTAAAAATTAGCCAGGTGTGGTGGTGCATGCCTGTGGTCATAGCTACTCGGGAGACTGAGGCAGGAGGATGCGTGAACCTGGGAGGCTGCAGTGAACTGTGATCACACCACTGCACTCCAGCCTGAGGAACAGAGCGAGACCTTGTCTCAAAAAAAGAAAAAAGAGGCCCGCTGTGGTGGCTCATGGCTGTAATCCAAGCACTTTGGAGGCCAAGGCAGGTGGATCACCTGAGGTCGGGAGTTCAAGACCAGCCTGACCAACATGGTGAAACCCTGTCTTAAAAAAAAAAAAAAGAAAGAAAAAAGTAGCAGCAGATAATATAGCTAAATCGACTTTTACACAGCCATGTATACCCCACTGGCCAGCCTCCCTTCATACTATGTCCAACTCTGTAAGGTCGAGCTATGATGTGCCTGCCACCTTATGTTACCTGACACCTCTCCCTCAAGAATCCTAAGCTCTTGGAGACATCATCCCAAACTCACTTGGTAAGTGGACACTGGCATCACTTTTATCCCTTTTTATAGATGCAGAAACCCAAGCAAGCTGGCCTGTGGTAGGGCGGGAAAGACAAGCAGCGTGTGACCAATGACCGGCAACCTGTGACCCACCTCCATGTAGCAGTCCAGCTTTGGATCCCTCCTGTCCCTCAACAGGCCTTTCCAGACCAGGTGCGCATTCACCCAGGCCAGTCCGTCAGCCACCCTGGGGGTCAGACACCATGTCCTTCCAAGTGGGGAGACAAGAGGCCAGACTGCATCTCACTTCAAGTGTGGGTCTGTCACTCCAGTGACCATCTCTGGGCTCCACTGGCACTCATAGCCAGCTCCAAGTCCCAGTTTTTAACAGGCTGCTGGGTTCTTTCTGTGCATGCCAGGCTAGTGACATGTACATAAGATCATAGTCTGAGACTATACTCCTTTCTAAAACAGGAACCCTAAGAATGTAGGCAGGGACCATCTTGTTGAGCAAACAGGCAGAGGGGTAGCTGAGCTTTGGAAGCAGATTCACACAACTCCAATGCTCCCACTAGGCCTTTGGGTCATTCTCAGCTATTTAATTAAGCTCTGCTGTACACTGAAGCAGCAGTACACTGAACCATCAAAGTGCCTCCACCTTGAAGCAATGTCTAGGTGCCACTTCTAATGACACTCAGTCCTGGACACTGGGCCAAGCTGTGTCACCCTGGGCAGATTCCTAAATATCATCAGGGTTGGCATCTTCAGCTAAAGAAATGAGGCTGATGCTCATGGTCTGGCAAGGGTCATGACGGCTGCAAGGGGCACATGGCTGTGGGACTGGGAAGGCCTATGTCCTCATCCTGGGATCTGCTGCTATGTGATCCTGAGCAATGCCCACTTCATATGTCTGGGTCTCACCTTTCTCACTTGTAAGTAAAATTGTGATCACAATGCTTTCCTGATAAGGATGAAAGATGCATAGGAAGTATACTTAGCCTATTATCAGGCACAGGGCAAGTGACACCACTACTGATAACTACCCTTCAATTTGGAAGAGGACTGTGCAATTATCACCTTGCTGAAAGTGATCAAAGGAGGAAATGGAGGTACAAGGAAGCCCAGGTGCCCCTCCCAATCCCACCATGACCCTGCCTTGCCTTATTTCTGCTGTCCCAATCTGAGGTAGAGACACCATGAAAACCCAAGGAAGTGATTCACATGCCCCTCCCTGCCTCACCTGGAGCCATGTTCTCATCAACCCACTGGAAGAAGCCACACTGCTGCTCTCTTGGCTTGGCACACGTGTGGAACTGGCGCCCCTTATTGGGCCCATCCTTCTGCACAGTCCGTTTGACGGTGGGCTGGCTACACAGGCAGGATGTGCCATTACCACTGCCATCACCGGGGTTGCCAAACCCACCCAGGTGGGTCCCTGGGCCTGGTGGGCGTCCTAGGGAGCCACCTAGGGGTCTACATGCTGAGGTGGGCGGCTCTCCTGCTCCCAGATTGGGGCTGTCTGCCCACAGGAAGAAGTTGCAGCTACCCGTGTTGCACTTAAAGAATTGCCGGCCCTGGTTGGGGCCCTCCTTACGGACAGTGAGCAGCACAGCCTCCTGGCCACAGTTGCAGGTCACTGAGTTGCTTTCACCAGCAGCTGTGGGTGGTGGGAGGGTCCAGGCCAGAGCCTTTGAGGGCCCAGTCTGTCTGCCGTCAGCAGGCTGGGGGTGGTGGCTGCTGTCCATCCCGTTCAGGGACTGGCTGGCCTGCAGGCGGCCAGAGGGCTGGCTAGCCCTTGGAGGGCCCCGTGAAAATCTCAGGTCCAGGATCTCCCTCAGGGTCTCATCACATCCTCCGATGCAGCAAACAAACTCCAGAGGCATGGTCGGGGGAAGGCTACCACGCTTAAACTTTAACTTCAACCTAGTAAGGCCAGAAGATGAGAAAAAACATTAACAACCAGGTGCCAGCTTCTCCTTAGTCCACTGACGGCTGCTTTAGCCCTAGGGCTCTTTCCACCACTCATTATGTATCAGGAAGCCCATGCAGGGCCCTGTGAGGCTCTCCATCAGCTCACCACAAGGTCCCGCCAGTCATCACAGGAGTGGACAGTGGGAAGCAGTGCAGATGAAATCTAAGATCCCGGTAATTCACCAAAATAAAAACACCTCTGGAAAGTTCCATGTCTCTATACCAGCAGTTCTCCAAGTGTGGTTCTGGGGTGCCTGAGCCCTTTCAAGGAGAGGGCCAAACTATTTTATAGTAATTCTAAAAGGTTATGTCTATTTTGCTCTCATTCTTCCGTGTGTACACAATGGAGTTTTCCAGAGCTTCTAGAACACACAATGACTCAGCAGACTGGCTGCAGAAGCAGATAGGGGAATCCAGCTCTCTTCTATTAAGCCAGATGTGCGAATTGCAAAATGTAAAAAACAATGTCATTCATGTCATTATTATTATTTTGCTTTGGAAAACAGATATTTTATCACCCTAAAAAATATGTTATTTACAGTAGTATGCAATGCATTTACTAGAAATAGATTAATATTTTAAAAGATGTTTTTACTTTAATTTCACATGTGGTATATACTGATAAACCACCCACAACACAAGTTCTTTTGGCTCCTCAATGATCCTTCAGAGTGTTAGGGGTCTAGTGACCAAGAAGTTTGAGAACCACTGTACTGCACTAGGGCCGTGGGCTTTCTGGAGGATCTTAAATAATATATTTCTTTGCCCATGGCCCACTCCAAACTGGGTCATACCCACCAAAGCAGTGACAGCATGGAATACAACAGAACCGGACCAGGCCTGCTGACCTGACTGCTGCAGAACACAGCTACACCCCTGCAGAGCCTGAGCGGAATCCCTGACACTCCCCTCTGGGTTCTGGCAGGAGCAAGGGAAAAATGGGCACCGTGGTGTGCACACTCCAGAGGAGGTGCCTGACTCAGGCGCCCAGCTCACCTGTACACAGGGTGTGGCTGACAAACTGGACACACACTGCCATCCCTGCTGGCCTCCAGCACCGAGTCAGGAAACCACATGGCTGAGCGACACTCTGGGAAACCCATGCAGCTGAGGTAGAACCTGGGGACAAGGTGCCACGTCAGGTGGTAGGAGTGCAGGAGGCACTCTCAGGCTCTCAGCCGTTGGCCATCGGCCGAGGCAACCTTTCCTCAGATGACCGAAGACAATATTCCCTTTTCTGGAGGACAGTTAACTGGAGACACAAGCACTGATATTGAATTGATTTGAGAAAAATGAGCCTTCTCACATCCCAAAAGCACAAAGCAGCTATTGGTGACCCTGCTTTCTACTTAGAAAACCAAGAACCAACCAAGGTGACGCCAGGGGCCCTGTGCTGTGCACTCACACATTCTCGCCTTTCTGCCTCGTGCCAAGTCTGCACAGTGTCAGGACCACCCTCAGTTTGCATGTGAGTAAGCAGTAGCTTGGTGTGGGCTGGAAACCTGCCCAGAGATGCGCATGCGTTGGGGGACGGGAGCTAGAAATGGAAACCCACCTGTTTATGATAGAGCCTCACCTGCAACATCTACACCCCACCCACTACCCAACCACCCCATCCCCGTCTCTCCTGGCCAATGTTTTTCAACACCTTGCAGCCATGAAACATTAGGGTTTGACTAGCCAATATGCATGTGATTTACCAATTCCTTTGTGTGCCTGGGTACACTACAAAGAAAAAAAAGCCCCAAACTCTAATCATTTAAATAAGAAATCTACAGTCTCAGAAATGGAAATTATCAGATAAACCCTGGAGTAGCAAATCCCACATAATAATCTCCTGACCTTCTGGAGTAACTCAGAGAAGCATTACAAGAGAATAACAGAATAACAAAAGAATAACAAAGGAATAATAGTAATTCTCCAATACAGTGCTAAAACAAAAGTAAGTATTCTCTCTCCTTATATTCCAATGAGTACTAATCCAAAAACCTGCTGGTGGCAAGGAAAACCCATCAACAGCATTTATTAAGTGCTTAAATATATGCCCAGGTATAGGGCTAGGCCTAGAGTGGCTCTCGCTTCTGTCTGTGAGTGACAAGAGCCCTGACACCTGCTTCCAAGTCTGGTCCATAGACCTCTTGTTTCTGAGAGCTGGTGGCTTTCTTTTCATTGGGGCCAGCTGGGTTACTGACGGCTGGAGGTTAGGAGTGGAGAAACCTTTCTCATTTAGCAGCAAGGAGCACAGCAGCCCCAGGTGGGCCAGGCAGGATGGAGAAAGGCAGTGAAAACCTGGTTTCAAACTCTGCCTTTGCTGCCCACCAGGGCTGCTTGATTTCACGCAGGCACCTCTGCCTTCTAAGCTGCACAGGATTCCCTGCCTTGCAGGGTGATTATGAGAATGGGATGAGCTTAAAAAAAAAAAAAAAGAGAGAGAGAATGGGATGAGGTAATGCGTACAGAGCACCACCACGCAACATGCCAGTGAGGGATGGCACCTGACGAATGATGGCTGCCACCCCTCCAGCACATGTTTCCCCGTGAACTTCCTCAGTGGCCGGCCACCGGCTTGAACAACCTGATCTGAGGCTAAATGGCCCATTTGGGTCTACTATACTTAAAGCAAAAGGGAGTTAAGATTTTCAGGCCCAATTCAGAACTCTTCTTAGAGATGAAAAGTAGAATCTGCTGAGTATCTATAACATGTCAGTCAATGTGGTATACAGCCCTGACCATTTTCACCAAATCCTCATCCTTAACACAGGCTTGTAAGTACTGACCTTATTTTATAAAAAAAGAAATTGGGGCTCAGAACAGGTTAGGAACTTGCTTCAGGCCATACCACTTATATGTGGCAGAAGTGGCATTTGAACCCAGACTCACCTAGATCTGAAGCCCATGCTCCTCCATGTGTTACACATTGTGTACATGATGTCCTATCCACAGGGGACAAATAAACCCCATAATCACTCAGTTCCCCACCTGCTCTGAATTCCCACAATGCTTTACACCTCAAAGGCCTGATCTCACCCACGTATCCTTCTAGGCCAACACCTTGCCTGCAGGTTGGCAACCACAGGCCTGCCCTAAAAGATTTCATGTAAGTGAGATGGCAGGGCCTTTTAGAGCTGCGGCTAACACCGGTGCTGGAGAGCAGAGGTGAAGGCAGAAGGCAGAGCACTGACCCGCCGTTCTTCTTCGTTTTGAGGACCATGTCCTTGTTGCACTGTGGGCACTTCCTGATAGGCTCTGGCATGGATGGGTAGATCTCTTCTTGCTGGGCCACCTCTGTCCCATTCCCAAAGTACTGGGCCAAGGCCTCATCCAATCTGAAGAAAAGGCAAAGGTAGACACTCATCAGCCGGCAATTGCTGCAAAGGCACCTACAACACTCTTATGTGCAAACAACAGGCATGACCGTGGGAACCAGTTGGTCAGTGAGCTGCAGGCCTCCTGCAGAGAACCGACAGCAGGCAGAGAAGACTGAGCTCATTCATCACGGGCTCTGGTGCCCAACCAACTCCGAGGAGGAGAGTCCAGATACAGGCAGATGCTTCTGCCTTGTCACCAGCCCCACATTAAAAAGTAAAACTGGGCTGGGTGTGGTGGCTCATGCCTGTACTCCCAGCACTTTGGGAGGCTGAGGCCGGCAGATCACCTGAGGTCGGGAGTTGGAGACCAGCCTGACCAAAATGGAGAAAACCCATCTCTACTAAAAATACAAAATTTAGCCGGGCATGGTGGAGAACGCTTGTTCCCAGCTACTCGGGAGGCTGCAGAAGAATTGCTTGAACCTGGGAGGCAGAGGTTGAGATGAGTCAAGATTGTGCCATTGCACTCCAGCCTGGGCAACAAGAGCAAAACTCCATCTCAAAAAAAAAAAAAAAAAAAAAAGAAAAAG